GCCAGTGCATTAAGAACCTGAACTCGGCGATCTGGAATATACCAAAGCCCTGGCGAGCAGACACGCGGACTGTCTGAGAGCAGAGAACAACATAGAGCACATAGAGGTGTCTAGAGACGAAGTGGAAAAAATGCTCAAGGAGCTAAATAAGAACAAAGCAGTTGGTCCAGATGGAGTTTCACCCTGGGTTCTGATAGAATGTGCACCTGAGCTCAGCATTTCACTTCAACTGATTTTTCAGGCATCCCTGTTTACAGGAGTTGTAGCTGATGTGTGGAAAAAGGCTAACATAGTTCCAATCTACAAAAGTGGAAGCAGGGAAGACCCCCTTAATTATAGACCGGTATCATTGACAAGTGTAATAATCAAAATATTGGAAAAAAGAATTAAAACTAAATGGGTAGAACACCTGGAGAGAAATGATATAATACCAGACAGACAGTATGGTTTTCGATCTGGAAGATCCTGTGTATCGAATTTACTCAGTTTCTATGATCGAGCCACAGAGATATTACAGGAAAGAAATGGTTGGGTTGACTGCATCTATCTGGACCTTAAAAAAGGCTTTCGACAGAGTTCCACATAAGAGGTTGTTCTGGAAACTGGAAAATATTGGAGGGGTGACAGGTAAGCTTCTAACATGGATGAAAAATTTTCTGACTGATAGAAAAATGAGGGCAGTAATCAGAGGCAATGTATCGGAATGGAGAAATGTCACAAGTGGAGTACCACAGGGTTCAGTTCTTGCACCAGTGATGTATATTGTCTACATAAATGATCTACCAGTTGGTATACAGAATTATATGAACATGTTTGCTGATGATGCTAAGATAATAGGAAGGATAAGAAATTTAGATGATTGTCATGCCCTTCAAGAAGACCTGGACGAAATAAGTACATGGAGCGCCACTTGGCAAATGGAATTTAGTGTTAATAAATGTCATGTTATGGAATGTGGAATAGGAGAACATAGACCCCACACAACCTATATATTATGTGAGAAATCTTTAAAGAATTCTGATAAAGAAACAGATCTAGGGGTGGTTCTAGATGAAAACTATCACCTGAGGACCACATAATGAATATTGTGCGATGAGCCTATGCCACGCTTTCTAACTTCAGAATTGCTTTTAAATACTGTACATGGATGGCGATATACTAAAGAAATTGTTCACGACTTTTGTTAGGCCAAAGCTAGAATATGCAGCAGTTGTGTGGTGCCCATATCTTAAGAAGCACATCAACAAACTGGAAAAGGTGCAAAGACATGCTACTAAGTGGCTCCCAGAACTGAAGGGCAAGAGCTACGAGGAGAGGTTAGAGGCATTAAATATGCCAAAACTAGAAGACAGAAGAAAAAGAGGTGATATGATCACTACATACAAAATAGTAACAGGAATTGATAAAATCAATAGGGAAGATTTCCTGAGACCTGGCACTTCAAGAACAAGAGGTCATAGATTTAAACTAGCTAAACACAGATGCCGAAGAAATATAAGAAAATTCACTTTCGCAAACAGAGTGGTAGACAGTTGGAACAAGTTAGGGGAGAAGGTGGTGGAGGCCAAGACCGTCAGTAGTTTCAAAGAGTTATATGACAAAGAGTGCTGGGAAGACGGGACACCATGAGCGTAGCTCTCATCCTGTAACTACACTTAGGTAATTACACACAGTATATATATATCCAGGTATAACCTACGAAAAAATATATCTTGTGATGGGTTTGCAGGATACACAAAGAACTGTTGTAGCTTTTGTGAGTGGGATAGGCGTATAAGAGCTTCCCACAACATCATGAGAGACTGGCCACACACTCCATCACTGGAACCCAGGTGAAAAACTTTCAGCATCCAAAGTTGTTCCGCTCGTTCCGACCGGGAACCGGTCGGCCGAGCGGACAGCACACTGGACTTTTGATCCTGTGGTCCTGGGTTCGATCCCAGGCGCCGGCGAGAAACAATGGGCAAAGTTTCTTTCACCCTATGCCCCTGTTACCTAGCAGTAAAATAGGTACCTGGGTGTTAGTCAGCTGTCACAGGCTGCTTCCTGGGGGTGGAGGCCTGGTTGAGGACCAGGCCGCGGGGACACTAAAGCCTCAAAATCATCTCAAGATAACTCAAGAGAATCCACCACATGTTGAATAAAGCAAGATTTTATTACCACCCTCACACACAAAACAATAGCTAATCCTCAATTTTAATTTATATTTGAACTCAGCACATCAAAATTAATGATAAAACAGCTCTTTTCATCTAAAAACAGACAACTTTGAAAAATTGTTGACCAGTGTAATGCATATTACAGGGGTCTTCTATGCCACTGTCATTAATAAATAATTGCAAATGCTTATTTATTTCATCATTCAGTGATGCTGTGGGCATGAGCTGCATGGCAGTGCTGCGAAATGCTATTGCATGTGCTACACATGGTTGTTGTGTTAGTACTGTAACGTACGATTATGTTAAGTTGTTGAGTAGATTAGATACACAGTATTTAGTGGGTTTTCATATTTATTTAGTAGTCCTGGATACAGCAGTGTCATAGACGTTGAGACAGAGCTTGGAGCAGAGCAGAAAGCTGAGTGAGGCCGGAGTCGCGGAGCTCTATGTGGGAGAACGTTGTTGCTGGATGCGGTCCTAGTCTGCTGTCTGTTCTGTGTCGAAGCTGTAGTGTCTTGGGGTTGATTAGAACTGCATGCGCCGAGTGCTACCTTCTTGACTGGAAATTGTACTGTCTGCTATTCTCATATCGCTTGCTTATACAGTGGTACTGTACCTCGGTTTAAGAGTTTAATCTGTTCCTGGAGACAGCTCGTATTCCTCAAACTCGTAATCCGAAGCTAATTTCCCCATAAGAAATAATGGGAAATGAATTAATCCATTCCTGACTACCCCAAAAACCTCACTTCAAACTAAATTTTATACTTAATTCATCTAAATAAACCTACAAAACTATGTTCAAGTTATTACTTACCCTTGCTGATGAAAGCTGTAGGCGTATGGAAGATGGTGAGGAGGGGGGAGGAGGAGGAGGTGTGGTGGATATGGATGACACTATGGATACCACTTCTTTTTCTAAATTTTTCAAACCATCCCCTGCTTGCGTTAAAGTCTATCGTATCTGCCCTCGTTCCAGGGGTTTTCTTTACAAGGTCTTCGTGCAATACCCTGGCTTTCCTCACAAATGATGGCCTTTGAAACACTATCACCTGCTAACTCCTTGTTGTGTATCCAAATTAATAACAACTTTTCCACTTCTTCAAGTATTTGTGATCTTTGTTTCGTGATCGTTCTTACGCTTTTTGCCACTTTAGCAATCATAATGTCGTTTTACCTGCTAAGTATAGTGCATATCGTTGACTTGGCTTTGTTGTACTGCCTACAAAGTTCAACAACACGTGTACCATTTTCATGCTTCCGAATGATCTCTTGTTTTTCCTCTATTGTCATCCTCACATGTGCTTTCTTGCCTTGATCCTTACCACTGGCTTTCTTGGGACCCATGGTGAGATATATAATAACAACTTTTATGATCAAATGACCAAAAATCCAACAAAACACTGAAAATCTGGGTGAAGAATTGACATGGGATAGTCACTGGGTGCCAGGCAATGGTAAACTGAGTGGTGAGGAGTGACGATCGCCGTACCATCACGGGTTGCTGGTGGAGCATTTAGATCCAGGGCGGATGGGCTCGGGCACCAGGACAATAGGAGGTAATGTAAGCACGTAGGTAGGACAACGAGGGAATCACTGCTAGAGCTGAATTGTTCTGGAGGCGATGAAGAGTCAGAAATGCAAGCTGTAAGTCCTGTACTGCACAAGGTGCTTGAGTCGGCAGAGTATCAGAATGCAGTGAATGTGTAGGTAAATCTGATGACAGAACAGCTGTCGTAGGAGTCCCTGTAGGACAAGCAGTGCCCTGGCAGCGACGGAGAGTTGGCAAGACAGGCTGTAGATGCGACATGATGTAATCCTTGATGACGCTGTCAGATGAATGAGTAACGATCGTGAAGCAGCAAGCCGTAGCAGATGAAAATGCAGAGATGATCACGGTGAAAATCACAGCTGTGGCGAGGGTGTTGGCAGCGTTCCATGACAGGTGGCTGCGGTCCACAGCAAGCAGCAGCAGTAGAGGTCCAGTGAGAGTCCATGTTGTAGTCCATCGTAGCTGGGTATCGTTGAGACTCTCTGGGGTCACCAATGTAACGTACGATTATGTTAAGTTGTTGAGTAGATTAGATACACAGTATTTAGTGGATTTTCATATTTATTTAGTAGTCTTCGATACCGCAGTCATAGATGTTGACACGGAGCTTAGAGCAGAGCAGAGCAGAGCTGAGTGAGGCCAGAGTCGCAGAGCTCTGTGTGGGAAAGCGTTGTAGCTGGATGCGGTCCTAGTCTGCTGTCTGTTCTGTGTCGAAGCTGTAGTGTCTTGGGGTCGATTAGAACTGCATACGCCGAGTGCTACATTCTTGACTGGAAATTGTACTGTCTGTACAATTTACTGAAGGCAATATTCTCATATCGCTTGCTTATATATGGTGACCACACCTCAGCTCCTTCCAATAAGATAGGAGAATGGAAGAACTGTTACCTGTAAATAGGGATAGCATTATAGCTTGTGTAGTTAGTGCTAATTAGTTACACCATTAAGACGATGAGATAATGGAACGAGTATAAGGTTTACTCGCTACAGTACTAAGACCGTCACTCCCTGGAGATGTGCCTACAATTTTTGTCCTAGATGACATCTGTTTATTGAGACCAGAGGAAGCGGATGTGAGCCCTGGATACCTGCAGAAGTTTTAAATCTTAAGCTAGACGTAAAAGTGTCCCTGGTCACTGTGCACACCACCAATAAAGCAACCCTAGTTGCTGAGCGCAGTTGAAGGGTTAACCATACAATAAGTACAGTACAATACATAAATTTTTTTATGTATACATAAAATGGTACTGTAATGTTATCTGTTAGAAATAAAATTCCTAATTAATACTTACGAATTATCACTTGATCCTCTAGCATCCAAAACTTCATAGCCATGGCCAGCATAAGTGTGAAGAAGTGTGCCTTTATGGGGGTTCCACAATTTGACTGATTTATCTGATCCACATGTCATACAGTATCCTCCATCCACTGAAAATGAGAAGGCAATGAAAGTTGACAGAATAAAATATATAGTTTTAAAAAAGTTGTTTATAATATGTGTGTGGGACACTCCCAGGAACAGCCAGAATTATGTGGGAAAACCCCTCAGAAACTAATCCAATATATGGTATGTATAATGTACTTGAACAGGTATCAATTTAAATGATATGCATATCAAATCCCTTTCTAAGATGGAAAACTATACATAAATATATGTATAACCCAGAGTAATATTGGATGGGTTTGCATGAACGAAAAGACTGTTCTCAGATGAAAACACACACTCCAGTTGATTGACAGTCTGATAGCTGAGTGGACCGTGCTCTGGATTCGTAATCCTGGGATCCGGGTTCGATCCCCGGTAATGGCAGAGAAAAATGGGCAGTTTCTTTCACCCTGATGCCCTTGTTACCTAGCAGTAAATAGGTAACTGGGAGTAAGACAGCTGTCACAGGCTGCTTCTTGGGTGTGTGTGTGTGTGTGTGTGTAATTACTAAGTGTAGTTACAGGATGAGAGGTACGCTCGTGGTGTCTCATCTCCCCAGCACTCTTTGTCATAGAACGCTTTGAAATTACTGACGGTTTTGGCCTCCACCACCACCTCACCTAACATGTTCCAACTGTCTACCACTCTGTTTACAAATGTGAATTTTCTTATAATTCTCCGGCAGCTTTGTTTCATTAGTTTAAATCTATGACCTCTTGTTCTTGAGGGTCCAGGTATCAGGAATTCTTTCCTATCAATTTTTTCAATTCCTGTTACTATTTTTGTATGTAGTGATGATATCACCTCTTTTTCTTCTATCTTCTAGTTTTTGCATATTTAACGTCTCTAACCTCTCCTTGTAGCTCTTGTCCTACAGTTCTGGGAGCCACTTAGTCACATGTCTTTGCACCTTTTAAAGTATGTTGATGTGCTTCTTAACCCTTGTGTTGCTATGGGCTATTTGGCCATTGTCATCCACAGGCGCATAACAAAAAAAAATATATATATATATATATATATATATATATATATATATATATATTTTTTTCTTCTAAACCTGTTAATTTGTGTTTCCTGACCATGGAGAAAATAATAAAAAAAATCATAAGTGGCATATTTTGCCCGCTATAGGGTGGGGAAGTCTGGCAAAAAAGAGGCGCTGACTTCACATGCGTCCGAGACGGTCTGCTCAGCCCCAGCTGTCAGGCAGGAGTGGCCACAAAGAGAGAATTGCCTAATTATTTCAATGACTCTGATTGATTTTTCTTTGTTATTTTGCTGTAATATTCTTCAACAGTGTGTAGTGTGATAAATCTATATAATAAAATGTGTGAATCATCACTGTACTCAAAATTATGGTGTGCATATTATTGATTCAATTATTGTGTTCATAAAACAATAAACAAATACTTTGCCGGTTATTACGCTATATACTCAGGTTATATATACGTATCTGAATGTTTTGTTCACATAACGAACCACTAAGTTGATATTGCAAGTCAAAAAGCACTGGTGAGAGGCTGGTGTGGCCACCAGCCTCTCACCGCCAGTCCCTCCCTTAATCACTCCTCACTCGCCCACATCCTCCTCCCACCATACTGTTATTGCTTTTATTCATTATATACAGACATTATATATAAGTATCTACATGTTCTGTTCACCGAAACTGTTCATCTAAGCTGGTATAGTGCCCAAAGAGCATAGTGGCCACCCCTTCCCAGCATGATAAATCATGCAGATGTTGCCACCTTCCACACCAAAATGGCTTCTTCCCCACACTCCTTTTGCTGTTATTACACTATATATATATACACGGTATATATAAGTGTCTACATTTGTGTTCACCATAATGAACCACTAAGTTGGTATGCTGAGTGGCAGTGACTGTCACTCTTACTCACTCACCTCCCTTGACTCGCCACCATTCTCCTCCCACCATGCTGTTTTTGCTTTTATATACTATATACAGAAGTTATACATAAGTATCTGCATGTTTTGTTCACCATAGCGAATAGCTAAGCTGGTATAGTGAATCCAGACAGTAAAAGGTGATCACACAGAGTCAGCAGATAACGCTACCTCCCTCCCCACCAAGATTACTCCTCACACTACTGCGCTAATTATCACAACAATCCTGCTATTATCAGAATCCTGGTAATTTTTATCACAGTCAGGGGTGAACAAATCCACAAGGGCCGTGATGAGAATTCAAACCTGCATCCGAGAGCATCCCAGACGCTGCCTTAATCGACTGAAGTACGACATGGTAAAGGGAGTTGAAACCGAAGTTCTACTGAACTTACTGTATCATGCAGCCTCTCCGAGGCACAAACCAGGGTTTTACACAACTCCTCCCATGAGCTCGAGCTATGTCAATAGGCCATTCTCCCCCTTTGATGCATCACGCAATTGTGATTTCTGTGTGTAATGAAGTAAGGGCAAAGAGGGAGAACGGCCTATTGACATAGCTCGAGTGTATGGAGGGGAGTTGTGTAAAACCCTGGTTTGTGCCTCGGAGAGGCTGCAGGATCCAGTAAGTTCAGTAGAACTTCGGTTTCAACTCCTTTTACCATGTCGTAGCTCAGTCGATTAAGGCAGCGTATGGGATGCTCTCGGACGCAGGTTCGAATCCTCGTCACAGCCCTTGTGGATTTGTTCATTTGATGCATCACACAATTGCGATTTCTGTGTGTACAGTCAGGGGTCTTCTGTAATACTATCATCACTAAATAATAGCATGTACAGTACATATATATTATGGCATTTTTAGGCGATGCTGTGGTCACAAGCTGAACAGCAGTGCTGTGAGCTCATGCTACGTGCGCCAGCCTTGGTGGCTCACTCAGTACTGAGGATCTCACACCTGGGAATGTGGCCCACGATTTTTTTTTAAGATGGCGTCTGTTTACAAGAGCCCTGATGAAGGTGAGGTGAACCCTGTCTATCCACGGGCCGTTTAAATCTTGCGTAGTACTCCAACACGTCATATGACATGATGCGCAATTTATAGCAAGTTACTCAATGCGTCATATGACGTGATGCGCAATTTATAGCAAGTCACTCAACACGTCATATGACGTGTTGCGCAGTTTAAGGGTTAAGATGTGAGCACAATACAACTGCTGCATATTCCAGCATTGGTCTAACAATAGTCATGAACAATTTCTTCAGCATTTCTCCATCTATGTATTTAATAACACACGTGTGTGTGTGTGTGTGTTTCTGTGAGTGGGGAAAAAAATTAGTTAGTTGTTAGTAACAGTTGATTGATTGACAGTTGAGAGGTGGGCCAAAAGAGCAGAGCTCAACCCCCACAAGCACAACTAGGTGAATTGTTACGATATATAGTATCGTGTTATTCCATCGCATAAAGGCACGATTATTTAAGTCATGCATTCATTATTACAGGAAGAACGAGGTTAACAACCATGGAGGTCGTTAACTGTCAGCATGGTATGGCTCGTCCGGTGGCGGGAATTTCTGTTAGCCAATCAGAACCACCGGGCGAGGTAACGTGTGCTGGCCGGCGCATGTGGAGAGACAGACATCTACTCCCCTCCATTGAGTCAACAGGCTGTCATCGCGTTTGGATGTGTGACCAACGGACCCAACTGTTAGAGTGCTCCACCCTCATGAAGGAAGAGGACCTTGAGGCATGGTCGACGTTCTTGAAAGTTATGGAAGATAACAGCTTTGAGATTTAGAGGTCGGCGTGGAGGTAACGCGCTGATTTTCCTGATAGCGGTACAAATTGCAGGAAAGTAGATGATTTATAAGTGGGAAGATCAATCGGACAAGAGACGACCGTAGCATGGTCGTAGTATCTCTCTCTCTATATATATATTTAACTGTACTTGTGTACAATGCACACATATATATATACATGTAAAATATTGTATATAAGGTGATTAGAGATATATCGCAATATATCCATGATGAAGTTTTATACCATCTTATTTTCTTGTCCTTTGTCAGACCTCAGCACAAAGTGTGTCGCACCTGACAACAGGTCCGGCTGAGGCTGACACCTGTTCAGATTCATGTACCCCGTTGTAGTACAACGAAGCATTGGGATAAACATTCAGAATAAACCTAAATTAAATGTGTTGGGTTGTCAACAGTTCGATCCCAACACATATGGGGGCCCGTCCGGGAGCGTTTTGAGCAAGACACACTGTGTACACTTGCAGCACCCATTGCTAGTCATCTAGGTATCTAGCCAGGTAAAGTTTTCATCATGGATCGTGTCCAAGAATTTATAACAAAAGAGGACCCATTGATTTTGGAGAGCTGTACGAAAGAACAGCTGAAGCAAATCGACGAACACTATGAGATAGAATTAGTGTCGACTAAAGTGGTCTATATGAGACAAGAACATGGAAATAAAGTAAGGTCTCGACGCGAAGACGTCGGAGCGGTAGGATTAGATGTGAGTGCAAAGGAAAGTGGGGAACAAGATACAGTGGTACCTCGGAATGCGAGTGTCCCTGTATGCGAGTTTTTCGGAAGACGAGCAGGATTTACTCCAAAAATATGTCTCGGAAGGCGAGGGTTACCTCGGGACGCGAGTTTGTTGATACGTGTACAGGCCGACTGGTGCGTGGTGGCATGGCGATCGCGCCTCAGTTTACCAGTGTCTCGTGTCCAGTGACTATCCCACCTGAATTCTTCACAAGGATTTACAGTTTTTTATCGGTTTTTTGGCCATTTGAGCATAAAAGTTGTCATTGTATATCTTGCCATGGGTCTCAAGAAAGCCATTGATAAGGTTCAACCTAAGAAAATAGCTGTGAGTAGAGGATGTCCCTTCTTGATTAAGAAAATGTGTGAAGTATGGGAAGAACTGCAAAGTTTTGTTGAAAAAACTCACCCAGATAAAGCTGTAGCAGGCCGTTGCATTGACCTTTTAAATGATAATGTGATGTCTTACTACAGACAAGTGTTAAAATGTAGGGAAAAACAAGTGTCATTAGACAAATTCTTAGTAAAACAAGCAAGTCCT